AAGTGTTTACAGTCTGAAAAAGGAATCTGGCCATGTTGATAACAACCTGAGACCTCACTTATTCCACTTTTTTCTCTCTTTCTAGAGACACTGTCATCTGAACCAAAGATGGGAAAAGGTAAATTTGGAGACTAACAGCAGATCCCTTTTCAGCCAATCTAATTTAGAGGAAAGCAATGAGGGAAGTTTTTCTAAATACATGAATCTTCTATTTAATGAGCAGTGAGAGATGGACTCAGATTTCCCTTTCCCTGTTATTAGTAGTATTATGGAAACACATCAAGGCCACCGTTTATTGATAGAGATCCATCTTGCTGAGTGCTGTAGATGCACTTACTGAAAAACTCTTTTCTGGGGGACAAAAAAAAAGAGAGAGGGTATATGGCCAGGCTTTTAAATTAATTTAGACACCTGACTCCCATTGATGGCAGGGGTAGAGTCAGGGGTGGAGTCAGGGGGGACACAGTGGTGCAGTCGTACTCCCACTTTGATTCCTGGTCCACCCAAAAGAGGAGGGGTGAGACCTGACCAAGATTACACAGTATCTTGAGTAGTGGGGAAAACTTAGAAGTCAAGTTAATACTGTTTTTTTATTATTACTAATCTGTGGGAGTCTGGCTATGCACATCTACTGCCCTCTGTCACACAAGAGTAATCTGCAGTTATGTTGGCAAACAACAGGAATATCTTTGGAAACTTGACAGCAGCTCCAATTAACATGTTTCCCCTTTGTTCCCAACAGTGACTCCAACATCTGGGAAGCAGCTGGGCAAAGGTAAGGGGCAGGAACCAAAGGGATAGGTGAGAGCTGGATTATTCAGGAGTAAAGATTTATATCGGGCCTGGATTATGAAGGCCCACAGTCCTATATTTTCATCCACTCTCATGTGACTGGGTATTGTCTCATATAACTGAACTATCCAGTGAGTCTGGGACTTTCAAAGGGGCCCAGGGAGGTGAGAATCTGAAATCGCAGTGAACTTCAATGAATTCCCTGAAGCACTTTTGAAGCCTTCAGTTTTAAATATCAAATGGTCTTGGACTCTGGGGTACATGATATTCCTTTAAGTGACTGGATTTCCTGAATTACTTTCTAGCCGGGTTGGTTGCATTTTGTCACTGACACAATCAAACCCTGTCCAGGACTGAGTTCTTCCCCTGATGCTCTGATTGTCTCTTTCTTCTCCCAGTGAATGTGACTCTGGATCCAGTCACAGCTCACCCCCAACTTGTCCTATGTGAAGACAGGAAAAGTGTGAGATGGGACTATGCACGGCAGGACATGCCTGACAACCCCAGAAGATTCGATCCTGTTCCCTGTGTGATGGGCAGTGAGGGATTCACATCAGGGAGACATTACTGGGAGGTGGAGGTGGGTGGTGTTGGCTGGGCGGTGGGAGTTGCTAGAGAGTCAGTGAGGAGGAAGGGAGGGATCAGCCTTGAGCCACAGGTGGGAATCTGGGCAGTTGGGCAGTTGAACCCAGTTCAGTTTGTGGCTCTCACTTCTCCTTGGACTAGCCTGCCTCCACATCAGCGACTCAGGAAAATCAGGGTTGTCTTGGACTATGAAGGGGGCCAGGTGGCATTTGTCAATGCTGAGACCCAGACTCAGATCTTCACCTTCACAGCAGCCTCTTTCACTGGGAGAATCTTCCCGTTCTGCTGGGTCACAGATGAAAAAGCCCAAATCCGAATGTGTTACTGAGACATGTAGTAAAATATCTGCCCAAAGGGCAGAGCCTTTGTTGCAAACTCTCAAGACATCCTGCTGACTGGCTTCTATTGCGTCCCTCCTATACTCTTGTACTGACTGCATCGCAGCAGCGTCCAAGGGCCCCAGTTGTCTGACACCACAGCTCTGGCTGGCGCTCTGAATAGGTGTGTGGCTTTGCCAACTCTTGCAGCCTGTTTTTCAGTGTCTTTGCTGCAGCACATGGTATCAATGCCAGAGAACAGAGGCCTTTCTTTTGGAGCAGAAATCTTGTATAGAGAGATCAGTGGCAATTTGGGTAATTTGAGAGGGAAGTTTATTTAAAAAAAAAGAAAAAAGAAGAAAAAATGCATAAAAGGAAAAATGAGGGAGATCATGAGCTTTTTTGGAGCAGAAACCATGTCTCTCCCTCATGTCTGTGCAACAGCCAATGGAATAGGGGGGAATTGATCTCAGCTGGTGTAAGGACTTTCTCCCCATGTCAGTGCAGCGCTTACCATGGGGGGGGACCCTGATCTCAGCTAGGACCTCTGGGTGCTCTTATAATACATAGTACCTAGGGGATATCATGACTATGAGAGTCATCCAGAAGATTCATAAACTTGTGGAAAAATTTTCAGGCACATCTACTGTGACTTAGGATTCCAATTCCCAGTTTCCACAGTCACTGTGTGGTTCTTAGGAGCCTAAGAGGACATGGGATTTAAGTTCCTAAGTCACTAAGGTACACTTGGAAATGTGCCCCTTTTTCAGTCTTATGTGCTATTCTTCCCTCAATCCAGTTGCTGTATCAGTAGCTGATTTCAATCCGTCTCTATGAATACATCCCTCACTGGGGCTGCAGGTTGGGTCCTTGCATGACTTCAAAAAGTAGCCATTGCTGAAGGATGAGCTGTCACAATCCTGTCATTGCTTCCTAGACAAGAGGCAACTGTCTTGTGTGCCCACTGTTCACATAAGGGTTCAGAGGTCAAAGTTAACATATGCATTTAGGCTTCATGTTTGTTTAGCATAAATAAAATTATATTTTTAAATAATTTATATTGTACTGTGTTGCTCCCTCCCCTAGATTCCCCAACCCCATGTCCATATTTTGATCATTGGTGCTGGAATAAGGGGGGGTGAGGGAGAGGGGGGGCATCACTAGATTTATCAATGAGGATTGTACCTCAGACACTAGTGATGATTGTGGCAAACCTAACAAGGAGACAGAGATGGAGACTGCAGGTGAGCAGGGGTAGAAACTTTTGACTTCTCAAAAACAAATAAGTCTTTTATGGCAACTGAACCTCCCTCCTGGAATTTTATGAGGCTAAAGCAGTGGATCAGTGACCATCCTGCTGTCAAATTGGAAATCTTTTATATATATAGATATATATATAGAGAGAGAGAGATAGATATATAGATACGTGTGTGTGTGTGTTTGTATATATGTGTGTGTATGTATATGTGCATATGTTTGGGGGTTTTTTTACCCTCACCCAAAAATAAGTAAAACAATGAAATAGGACCTGATATCATTGTCACTGTCATCTTTGTAGACTTCATGGCAAACATGCTTGAACAAGTCTGTTCAGGAGGCTTTCTCAAAGGAAGCTCAAGGTCAGGGTCATTCTTGATGGATCTTCACTTATTCCTGAGAAGTTATACCAGGAAGAGGCTTGGTCTCTTCAGAGTCTGGAGAACATGCACATGCTTTCAGAATCTCTTCTCTCAAGGCTCCCAAGACCTGGAACTCTGACCCAATCAGAGCATCACAGAATCATCAAAAAGTTGGACTGGAAGGATCCCCAGTGCTCAAGGCAAGATCATACCTAGCTAAACCATCTGAGACAAGTGCTTGTGTAACCTGTTCTTAAAAGCATCAGGAACAACCCTCATGCCCCAAACACCCTAACCTGCTGTAGGCAAGGTGGGGGGACAAGGGCCTCAACAATATTTTACCACTGCAAGGACAGGAAGCAGTTTGTTAATAACACATTATAGGGGTCTACTTAAATCACGGGGAAACAAAACAATTTTCCTGGGTTGGATGTGGCATCAACAGCAAATTCTGCACATATTTCTTGGATGGGATCTGGTGGCCCCACCCCTCAGTGCTGATTGGTGACCAGAGGGAGGAGGGATGAGGGGGTGGCCCTTATCTTGTCTCCTTCCCCTCATGCCACTCCACAAGCTGGCACCTTCCTCACAGTGGCAGGGAAGTTTCTTAGAATGATATATTTTATTCGACCAGCTATGTAGTTGGGATAGAGCTAGACAAGCTTTTGAGTAACCCAACAAAGACTGTCTTGCATTCAAACATTTGTCTAACTCTATCCCAACTTGATAAGCGGACCAAGAACAAAATTCCACCCTAAGAAATGCTCGTCTATGTAGCTACTAGATTTTGAGGCCTTTGAGAGTTTTCCACATGTTACATTCCTAAATTTAGGCTAGCTTGTGCCACATAGAAAGGGTTGGATCTTTCACCCTTATTGGCTATTACAGTGATTCTCAACCAGGATGCCCTGGCACCAGTGGGTGACTTGAGATCTTTTCAAGGGTGTCACAGGGTACTGGTACTGTTAGGTGTGCAAATATGATTTAATCTCTATGAATAAAAATAATAATCAAAAGGCTTCAAATAGGAATTCATAATGTTAAAAGCACCCTGACCTGTTGGCATCTTTCTGAGTTCTTTGCAGAGGAAAAATTGCTCTAGTATTTTTCTGTGGACAAAAACAGAGTGAAAGCTAAGAGCTGCCATTTTCCAAGGGGGACCTTGAGTCTACAAGGGCTGAGAACCAAGGGTTGCCTGTACTTGCAGGGGACTGCACTTGATGAGCCTGGTGCTTCCTGCGAGTCTTTCATTCCAAAAAACAAATGAAAATGCATCAACATAAAACCAAGATGCCTCTAAGGAACAAACCACTCTGCCACTAGGCAAGGCTGAGCCCAGGTCTGTGATGAGGAGATTGGAAGTGATCGCTCTTCTACCCAGAAGTAGCTGGGGCTTCTGAGAATCCATCCAGGGCTCTCCAACCAGAAGGCATTGGTTCCACCTCTCTGGTTTGTTTATCCAGTGCCTACAGCATGAGGCTACAGCTTTTGCTCAGACTACAGTGCCTCAAGATCAAAGGGATCACTTGGAAGTATCTTCTCTGCTCTGCGCAGAGAAACCTCAAGCCAAACAGGCAACTGGGCTGGATACGGAAAATTGGTAAGACCATTTGTTTTGAAATCAGGGGGAAAAGCTGAAAGGAGCAGAGTGAGAATGGGGCGGGGGGAAGCCCAGGAGGCTTTCACATCTGTTCTGTAGGGAGGATGTGTGTGATCTGCATGGACATGCAGGAATCCCCTCTTCCAGGAACGCAAGGCAGGAAATTGCTAGCAAATGAAATAGGCAATTCAAACTTCTTGGGAGTAGCAGATATTTCAACTAAATTGACTTGTATTTAAAAAAATCTCCAAACACTTGCAACGTTGTTTGACTTGTGAGAGTGAATGTTGGGGTGCTAATTGCCAGCCTGGCATCAGTCCAGAGAGAATCGGCACTCTATTTGCTTTCCTCCTCCCCAGGTGTCCAGAACTGATGACACAGGGCATTGATTTGTTAGTTTGTTATTCAAATTCCTTCATACATCCAGAGCCCTAATCCTGCTCCCTTTGTATGCAGTAGAGTAGGGCTGTAGCCATGATGATCCAGGGAATATGGGTGAAGCAAGGGCTCTTTGGCAATATCTTTTATTACCAAACCATATAGTTGGGAGAGATGTTAGACAAGATTTTGGGACCCTTGCAGAGGTCTGAGAGAAGCAGGTACAGTCTAAGATAATACCAGATAAATACAATTACTTTTGTTTAACTCCATATGTAAATGAAAACAGTCAATTAAATGGAAGAGATACTTAGCTTAGGCTGTATTTGCTGTTTTCCCAGACCTGAGGAAGGGCACTTTTTTGGGCCCAAAGTCATCTAATATTTCTTTCAGCTTTACAATTGTTCAATGAAAGATATTACCAAAAACGCTTTGCTTCTCTAGTTGTTATGTTCTCAGAGATAGCTCTTTGTCTGATTTTCATCAGTAGCTATTTTTACAGTTGTACTAACCGTTTCAGGTTTGTCTCTGTACCTTTGCTGGGGGTGGCATATTTAAACAAGGAATCTATTGAGAATCTTTGTTGGTTCTGGAAGGGGCCTTAGGAGGGCATTTAGTCCAACCCCTGTTTAAGGCAGGATCCTCCCTTTATAAACCATCTCAGACACGTATTTGTCTAAACCTGCACTTAAAAGCTTCCAAGGATGGAGAGTATGATAATCTGTCCGGTGGTTAAACACCCTTGTTGTCATTTCAGAGCTGGTTCAATGACCAATATTCCTTGTGAAGTATTTATGATATAAATGCAGTACTTTTATATCAGGCTATGAATTACCTGCAAAGAAGGGTTGTGATTTTCATGAATTGCTTTGTTGTTTGCTGCTGTTTAACTACAAGTTTGAGAAGGATTATAACCTGCCTTGGGCCTGGTCTCAGTACAGTTCTAACTGGACAAATGCCAACTATGTCATGGAGGGTGTGGTGTGTGTACGTCCTTATCTCTGAGAGACATGTTTTTTGCTGAGGCCTTGGGTTTGCTTGCCAATGTCTCCACCTCTTCTCAGAGTCATGAAGTTTCAAGTATCTCTAAAACTCAGGTTTGAATATGCACGTGAGGCTTTTATTTGCAATCTGGGTATGGAGAGGTTATAGACTTGCTGTTAGGAATATTCAGAGTTCGCTGTTTGCGTGGCCAGTTGCAGCATGTCATGTGGTTTGGTTTCCATTCTCTGCATGACCTAAGCTTTATGCACAGGAAGCTTCCATTTTTGTGTGTCAGACAACCAGTTCTTGAAGAAACCACTCCTTGATGTTATTGTTTGGGGTTCACAGTGCAAATGGTAAGATTAAAAAGAGGGGTTGGATTTACCAAGTACAGGTAACTGCATGTGATGGATTTAGTGACGATGAAGAGCAAAAGGGGTGCCCAGTGCATGGCATGTGGAACTGATCTTTCTTTCTCTCTGTCTCTCTCTCTCTGTCAGACATCAGAAGCTCTTTGAGCAGCCCTGGGGTCCTTCCTTGTTCCCACACACTCTTATGATGCTGGGAAGGGCCATGAATACTACAAAAAAGAGTGCATTTGCACTGCCCTAATTTTATTGCATGTCTTGCATTTTTTGTGTTTTTCTTCAAGAGCCAGTTCCAGGAGTCAAGTGATTGATTCTGAGGGATTGTCTAGTTCTTGTGATTATAGAGAAAAGCTTGATAACATGAACCTTTGGACTGAAAAACTAGCAGGCAGGTAATAAACGCCTACCCTGAGGCAAAAGGTTTACTATTAGACTCACTACCATGCATTGCTGATGCACCCCCAGTGTAGATCAGGGGACCATTCAACAAATGCAGAATAAGAGTCTGTGAACTGGAGACACGACAGGCTGAAGATGAGAGGGGTGATGACTTGCTCAGGGTGACACAGCAGGTCAGTAGCAGAGCTAAACCAGGTCTATCTAATTGGCACCTCACTACTAGGGCTGTGCAAAGCTTTGGGTGCTGATTCAATTCAGGGGAGGTTTGGCCCAATTTGGCAGCTGAATCTCCAAATCTGAATCAAATCAGGAGACCAGTTAAAAAGATCTGAATCAATTTGAAGCTCTCCAAATCAATTCAGAAATGATTTGGAGAGCTTCGGAGATTTAGGCAGTCCCTGCTTGCTGTTGCAGAGAGCTGGACCTGGATTCTGTGCTGGTAAGTAGGGGTGGGGGAGGGCGGTGCTGGAGAAGTTTCATAGTTTCATAGTTTCAGGGTCGGAAGGGACCTAATAGATCTTCTAGCCCGACCCCCCCGCCAGGGCGGGAGAACAACCCATGCCAGCGGGGGCTAGGGGAAACAGCGTCTCCCCCAAACCCTTCTGGTTCCCCCTAGTGAGTTTATAGACGGTCACCAGGTCCCCCCTCAGCCTTCTCTTGTGGAGGCTGAATAGGTTCAAGTCCCGCAGTCTCTCACTGTAGGGTCTGCCCTGTTGTCCCCGGATCATGCGGGTGGCCCTCCTCTGGACCCTCTCCATGTTGTCCACATCCCTCCTGAAATGGGGCGCACAGAACTGGACACAATACTCCAGCTGCGGCCTGACCAGCGTCGCATAGAGGGGGAGGATCACCTCCCTGGCTCTACTCGAGATGCACCTGTGGATGCACGACAAGGTCCGGTTAGCCCTGCCAACCATGACCTCGCATTGTCGGCCCATGTTCATCTTGGAGTCAATAATGACACCAAGATCCCTTTCCGCCTCCGTGCTCTCAAGTAGGGAGTTCCCCATCGTATAAGTGTGCTGCTGGTTCCTACTACCCAAGTGCAGCACCCTGCACTTGTCCGTATTGAAACACATCCTGTTCCTGTTTGCCCACCCCTGTAACCTATCCAGATCCTTCTGCAATCTCTCTCTCCCTGCTAGCGTGCTCACCTCCCCCCAAATTTTGGTGTCATCAGCGAATTTAAACAGGTTGCTTTCCACCCCAACATCAAGATCGCTGATGAAGAAATTGAACAGCGCAGGCCCCAGGACTGAGCCCTGGGGGACTCCACTACCCACCTCCCCCCAAGTCGAGTATGATCCATCCACCACCACCCTCTGAGTGCGACCCTTCAGCCAATCTGCAATCCATCTGACTGTGTAGGCATCTATGCCACAGTCGCCTAGTTTATTAATTAGGATGGGGTGAGAGACGGTGTCAAAGGCCTTGCTGAAGTCCAGAAAGACTACATCCACCGCGACACCTGCATCCATGGCCTTTGTGACCTGATCATAAAAGGCGATCAGGTTGGTCTGACATGATCTCCCCCTAATAAATCCATGCTGATTGCCCCTGAGCATCATTTCTGATGCCGGCCCGTCACAAATGTGCTCCTTGATGATCTTCTCAAAGAGTTTCCCCAGGATTGAGGTAAGACTGACGGGCCTATAGTTGCCCGGGTCCTCCCTTTTCCCTTTCTTGAAGATGGGGACCACATTAGCTACCTTCCAATCGTCTGGCACCTGGCCCAAGCACCACGATCGCTCGTAGAGCCGTGCCAGGGGCCCTGCAATAACCCCAGCTAGCTCCCTCAGCACCCTGGGGTGGAGAGCATCCGGACCCGCTGACTTGAACGCGTCCAGCCCCTCCAGAAGCTCTCTAACCCAGTCCTCCCCAACCTGAGGTCTGAAGGCGATCCCCTCGCGTCCGGCTTCTATCACAGCAGGGAAGTCCCGGTCCCTGCACAAGAAAACGGAGGTGAAGAATTGGTTAAAGAGGTCCGCTTTATCCTCTGACGCAACCACCAGATTGCCCAGCATATCCTGCAGGGGCCCCACATTACCCGGCGCCTTCTTCATCCTCCCAATATATTTGAAAAAGGACTTTTTGTTATCCTTAATCCTGGACGCTAAGTGGGGAGGGGCCCCTGCCAGGTCCCATCCCCTGCCTTTTCCACCAGCCCCACTGAGCGCCCCCTGCCCACCCCAGCTCCTGGCTCTTTAGAAGAAAAAAAAAAAGCCATGCACTCACTGGATGCTGCACAGCCTTGGGGCTTCTGGGGGCTTGTAGCAGAGCCCCCCATGCAGCACGCGGCTGTGGGGGGCAGTGGAGATCACCCTCCCCCCCACAGGCAGCAGCCGGTGAGTTGGGGCTTTTCAATTTTATTAAAGAGCCGGGAAGCTGGGGCCAGGTGGGGCAGCCATTCCCAGGGCTGGGAGAACGGGTGAGGGATGGGGCCTGTTTGATTCAGAGATTTGGCCGATTTGGCAGTGGCCAAATCTCCAAATCAGCTTTGGCCAAATCGAGCCGGGACAGTGATTCAAATCACCGAATCGAATCACTGTCCCCTGAATTGGCCAAATCCAAAACTGAAGCGAATACTAGCTCCTTCACACAGGCCTACCCACTACCCTTTCCCCTGGACCCTGCTGTCTCTCACAACCCTGTTCCTCCCATCCCAAGCCTCAAGAGCCCTGTTTCTCCCCTTTACCCCAGATAGCACCAGAGCCCCATTTATACAGTAACCTCATGGTGGGGGAAAGTCATTGGAGGAAAATGAATCAGCATGTGCTGTTTTGTTCTTTACCCATCTAGGTGCAAGGGGGGAAGGTTCAGGCTGTGATGGCTTTTCCTCCTGAAGTGAAGCAGAGAACAGAGGATTACATCTCCAACCTTCAAGCTCTAAAGCAATTCAAAGGTAATAAATATAGACCTTGCTTCCCTATTCCCTTTGCGTGCAATGCACTTACGTAGTCACCTGCGGTGTTGATGAGCCCCCCAAAAGAACACAATGAGCTATAGTAAGGTTGGTAGGAATACAGTGCACAGAAAATTAAGTAGCTATCTTACCCAGCAAGGGTACTGGTGAGGTGTCCGTGCTTTCCTTCATCCAGGGTGTCAAACATATCGGGTACTTGTACATGTGACAGGGGTTTAGTCCTCAAGGTTTTATTCTAAGCCCCCAAAATTGAAAGGGTGGGTTTTTAATTGAAAGCCACTGTTTCAGTTTTTCCGTTATGTTCCAGCAAGGGACCCGATCCATTTTTTTTCTTTCTTTTTTGTTAGAACTGGAGCCTGCCCGTGGCCAGAGGACGAGCTGCTGGCAGCCTGAGTGGCCCCTGAGTTGCGGGGAGACCTGGTCCATCCCTCCATGGTGGTGGCACCCCCCAGGGTTGCCTGGGTGGGCTGCTAGCAGGCCAGATGCTGCCCCAGTTTGGAGGCAGCACCCAGCCTGAGCCAACTGTTCCCTGAGCCTGACTGGGATGCAGCACCCAGCGGGCATCCAGTAGGCATGCTCAGGGAACAGTTGGATCTGGCTGGGTGCTACCTCCAAGCTAGAGCAGCACCCAGCCCACTGGCAGCCTGCCTGGGTGGCCCTGGGGGGTGCCGGCACAGTGGGGGGGAGGACGGGGGCCCCCTGGGGCCGTTTGGTCTGCCGGCAGCTCACCCCCTGGCTGTGGGAGAGGTGGGCAGGCTCTGCTAGAGGGAAAAAAAAAAGGATCAGGCCACTTGCCACTTCTGCCTACAGCAGATGCCTGCTGAAAGCAGAAGCGGTGAGGGGCCCAATCCCTTTTTCTTTGCAGAGCTTGCACACCTCTCCCCCTCTCCCATGGCCAGAGGGCAAGCTGCTAGCTGCAGTGCATCATTGCAAACTAAACTACATCCGGAGCTGGGCAGCATCTACGTCAGTGCTGCTGTGGAGTTTTTTTTTACTCTGCATCAGGATAGTACTTTTATTTACAGGTACTATCCTGCTACGGTGTAAATTAGTTTACTCCAGCCTAATAGGGGTGCACCTGTAGTCAACTGCCCAGTAAACGTCTTGTGTAGCGAGACCCAATATATGGCACATAACCATATAACTGCAGTCTCTCTGGCAGGCGCACGCACCTTGGGGTTCTTTTCCCTTCTGCAGAGAAATAGAATTGCTCTGCACACACACTTACCAGAAGTCATAAAGAGATGGACCCTACTTCTTTTAGCCCAAGAGCCTAATGGTTTGGGCACTTATTGAAGGAGCAGGAGATCCAAGTTTTAGCCCTGCCCCTGCCCCCTTGCCAATCCAGAGGAGGTGGAGAGTTTAAATCTGCCTGGCCTGCTTCCCAGCAAAGTGCTCCAAGCACCAAGATGTAGGCCTCCTCCTGAGGCTGGGCCACTGGACAAAGCATAATAGGAAAGTCTCTGTTTTCTTAGGAGGAAGGACACTGCCTAGAAGCCAGTGGTCCCTTTTATAAGAATCAGCAGCTGTTTCATTAAACTACAAACCCTCTGTCTTCTTTCTTTCCTCCTGGACTTGTAGATCTTCCTCTCTCGGCTGGTCAGTAACCCAACCTCACCAGAAGGCTTAGGCAAGGGTTTGGGTAATGCCTGGCCTATAGCCTGATGGTTAGAGCACTTTGTTGAGATGCAGATCCAAAACACCCCTGGCTGAGGGAAGTCTCCTGCTTCCTGGGCAAATGCTCTAACCATCTGACTATTAAACTTGGAGGCAGAGCACCCCCCTCTCCTCTAGCATCTGTCAGCAGCTTCTTGTGGGTTTTCATGTTTGACTAAAATGTCAGGCTCTTCTCAGCCTTAGGCATGTACCTGGGAGATTCTGTTTCTCCACGCAGGTGCACAGCCAGAATATAGCCCTGCAGAGCATACTCAGTAAGCTAACATGGGCACTGCTAAATTGCAAAATGTACGTAAGTGCCAAAACTACAGTTACATGGCTAAATTGGCTATGTATGGCACTCTTTAGACACTCAAAGTGAAATATGATTTAGCCCTTGTTTGTTACGCCCTTTTGCTCATTATCAGGGAGACGTTGGATGTATCTATGTATGTGCTTCTATGGAAATTTGACTAATACAGATTTGGGCACCTTTCTGTCCTTTCTTCTCCTCACCAACAACAGGGAAGCCCTAGAGATTTCTCTCAGATTCTCCCAAACCTAGTCTTAGCTCTGTCTCTAATACTCTGATTTTCTTTCTATCCTGCAGTGGATGTGACTCTAGATCCAGACACGACAGGTCCTGAAGTCATCCTCTCTGAAGATCTGAAAAGTGCCAGATGGGGAAAACCAAGTAGAGAGATGCCTGACTGTCCTGAGAGATTTGATAGTGGTCCATGCATGCTGGGCCGTGAGGGATTCATCTCGGGGAGACATTACTGGGAGGTGGAGGTGGATGGGAGGTTCTGGACTGTGGGGATTGCCAGAGAGTCTGTGAGAAGAAAGGGACACTCCATCTTTATACGTGACTTGGGGATCTTGGGTTTGCGGAAGTATGAGATACTTTGTGTGGCTCTCACTAGCCCTTCTAATACTTTTGTTCCTCTAGAGAAGATCAGCAAGGAAATTGGTGTCTATCTGGACTATGACTTGGGCCAGTTGTCATTTTATGATCTTAAAAATGAGAAGCTGATTTTTGCTTTCCCACAGGTTTCTTTCAATGGGGAGAAAGTCTTCCCTTACTTCAGCATACTGCTGTCTCAAATAAAACTGTCCCCCAATGGATGACATGTATCTCTGACTTGAAGGAACTGGATTCTCTCATCTTTGGAATCACAGTCTCTATGACCCTGGAAGAAGAGAGTATTTTTGCAAGGCCTCTCCTAGCTTATATGTTCCTAGCATCTGTGTTAGGTTGGAGAACCTCTTTCCTGAAGAATTACTGACTTTCAGTCTCAGATCACAGTGTGTGGCTCTTGGGAGAGTGGACTGTTCTTGTCTGGTGTTGTGGAACTTCTCCTCATTTAGAGTCTATGAAGCTATGAGATGTCTGTGTTTCTTTAGATTCCCTGCTTGCTTTGCTGGAGTGCAGAGTAAGGAATATTTTAATGGCACAAATTAAGGAAGGAAAATCCTGAGTGAAAATTATGTCATCATTATCAATATGGCACCAGCTGTGAATGTAGGCCACACAAGGCAGAACATAAATTAAAAGACTGAAGGACTAAAGTTCTGTGGAAGACAGTGAAGTGCATCAGAATATTTGGGATACGTGCACGAGCAGCCTGGAATGTAGGACCAAGCCTGAAACAATAGATGCTCAGGAGATGCTGTAATTGAATATGTTCATTAGTCAGAAAATTGTAAAGCTGCATGGCACCAAACATGACTGATCATAATGAAAGCATGTAGAATGCTACATGTAGCATGTACAGAGCAGCAGAGCTCATCAGAACATCTGGGATCTGTTCAAGAACACCCAGAAACAGACTCAGTACAAACAAGTAATTGAATAAGTTAATTCATCAGGAAATTGGAAAGGTGCAACCAGGTATAATATTCATTAAAAAAATTATTAAGATGATTAGTCAGCAGATCATAATACGCAATGATGTGGACTTGATGTAAGCATTTCAAATATATTAAAAGAGTAGAACAGAAATGCACTTTGGACTTGTGTTTAATCGTGTTTGATCACCTGGCTGATAGTGTGAATAAAGACTACATGAAGCTTACTGAAAAATTGCTGCATGCTTATTTGAATTGCATTGTAGTAGGACCTAACTGGTCCTGAAGGCAACAACAGCAGGTACCTTGATTTAAATCTATTTTGCCATCAGCAGATTCTGCTTTGACGTATCTTGGTACAATTTCTTCCCCCTTCTGTTCACTTTTTGAAGCCTTTCGAAGTCTGCCAGGAGATGCTCCTAGATGAACAGTTCTGCTTAAGCTGACGGGTTCTACTTTACAGTGCGCGCTTCTACACAAGATACTTAATGCACAGAAGACTAATTCTACTGTGCATTAGCATGGCTGACAAAAACTGCACTAATGCGCAGTAGATTTAATCTAATGCACATTAATGTCACTTAAAAAGCATTCATGTGCACTAATGCGTAGTAGCACTGATTACGGCGCATTAAGTTAGTGCCTGTAATAATAATTGCGGCTCATTAATGAATGTGGAGATGCAGCCAGCGAGTTGTATTTTGAGATCAAAATGAATGTAATCTGGACACTGGCTAATCCACAATCACTTAAGAAGCACTGGGGAATTGAAACCCCCTGTTTACTATCTAAAAGTGTCAGAGAAATTTTCCCTTTTAAACTCTTAAAGACCCATTGCACTAAATCTGTTTTCCTCCTCTCCCCCTCCATTTGTTCAGCCCAAGCAATGAGGCAACAACAGTAGCATCAATGTGAAATACAGTAGATGGGAAGTGAGGGAATGGGAAATTTCTTCAAGATGCACAGAATACAACCATACCCCTGGTCAGACACAGCACAGGCCTTCACATGAGAGGAACTGTGTTTAAAAGAAATACTGAGGAGGGTGTGCATGGGGAAAAGGCAAGAGGTGGGGAATGAAAGCGTGTGTTGTCAAGTGTTTGTTGTTGCTGCTCTTTTTTGGCCCTTTCCCCACATATCTGGAATAAATAGCCCTGTATTTCAAATGAAAGTAGATTCTTTTTATTGAATTTGGTACTTTGGAGTTTCTTCCTCCCACCACTCCAGTAGCAAGGCCCTGCCCCATTACTAAAGGGGCAACAGAGCTTGGGCTTTCCCCTCCCTTTCTTCCCTTTTGCTCCCTCTCTTGCCCTCTCTTCTTGGGTCTACCAGGTCATCCTGTCCCTTTGGGGTGTCCCCCTGGTTGCCTTGGGTGTAGTCCTTCCCCGCTTCCCCTCCCCCCGTGTTATTTGGCTGTTACTCATGTTTGTTGAGTGCTATCACAGCCCACTAGCAGGCTAAGGAGTTTGAAACAAGACAGTTGCCAGGTCCAGGTGCAGTCAACCCCTGATTATGCAAAGATGGAAGTAGAGGAGTCAGGTGACTCGCATCACCCCTTATAAACTCAAGCCTCAGGCCAGAGAGGCAGCAGAAAGACTGATGAGATCTGAAGCCTGATAGATGATTAGTTGTACTTGATGAGGGTTGGGACAGAGCAGTCTGAATGAGTACAAAGAACTCCTGGAGAAAGTGGACTGCAGTTTTCCCATGGAAGCATGGTGAGGAGAAGCAGGCAAGTCAGTAGTCCCACTAAGCTATGCGACTCCTCAAGAAGCACCAGCATGTGTAATGGTTAGGATAATGATTCTCAACCAGGGTGACCTGAGATGCTTTCAAGGGTGCCACACAATGTTAGGTTTACATATGTGATTGACAAGATAAACCCAAGGATTTTAAATAAGAATCCAGAGTTGTGGTCTTTCTGAATTCTTTGTAATAGAAAAACTGCTCTTATTATTTTTCTCAAGGCAAAAAAAGAAGAGTGAAAACTAAGAGCTGGTACTTTCCAAGGAGAACCTCAAGTCTATCCAGGCAGGGCTGGTACAGGGGGGTGCACTGGTGCACTTACATCTCCCCTTGATTTCTTCTCCACCCAGAACTGAAAACCAGCTGCATGGCAATGGCAGCAGCATTTCTAGTTGGGTAGTGCTGAGGGAGTCACTTGGCTTCATGACTCATTATCATCTACTGTATCCCTTTTAAACTCTTAATTCCATACTCTTCTTCCTGCTGCCAGATATATGGACCCCACAAATGGAAATCACCTGTGCCACTTTCTGCCCAGAGTTGGCTCAGGTCTCAGCAAGGTTAGGAGGAGGTAAGAGGCTGCACAGTTGTGCTGTGTGGCAGTCCTGAGAGAGGGCCCAGCAAGTGGAATTTCCTGAATCTCCTGCAGGGGGAGCCACACGTCTTCCAGGAACCCTCTTACCTCCCCAAAGGATTTCCAGGACCATTTTCTACCTCTGGTTTTACAAGAGCCCCTGCCTGCCCAGCACCTCTGGAAACACTCTGGTGTTGCTTTTGTCTTGTCCTGCTGACCTCACCTCTTTTCTTCCATTTGGCCTGGATTTGCACTTTCCAAACTGGACATGATCTCCCAGCTGAAACAGGGGGAAGAGCCATGGGTCCCAGATCAGCAAGGCAGATTCTGAGAGGCGCACCCCTAGGTGAGGAATTAGTTGAATGGGTGCAGAAACTGTCCGACACTGACCTAATGTTCTGGGATTCCCACCAGGGCACAATGGCACCCTGCAAGTCTGTACTACCTCAGCCTACCCCAAAATCAGGATTGTCCCTCGCAGGTGCTGTGTCCTTATGACAAGACATTGCTCCTAGATTTTCTGTAGGTGTGACTGATCCCCAGCTTCAGAACCCACCTCCCGAGAGGTCTGGTGGGACAAGGAGACAGGAAGGATCCCGTTGTCTTTCTCCTTAGATGAAGGGTTTGAGAGGGATTTGGCTCCTGGTTTTACAGTGTCTACCAGCCACTATTTTGAGTCTCCACTTCCCATGTCCCTTTTGCCTCTAGCACAGAGAGTGACTCCCATCTATATTGTCTCTTTGCTTGTCTGTGTCTTTCTCTCCCAGTAAGAAATGGGACAGTGAGTGAGAAGGAGGGAAATCTCCAGCAGCTGTGTGGAAACTAGTGGGACATCCCTGGGAAGAGCTTCAGGGGACCTTTGCCAGTGTCTTGAGCAAGGAGAAGCTTATAGAAGTTAATGGGGATAGCAGAGAAACCTCTCCCAGAGGAGCCTGGTGAAATCTGTTTGCCAAAAGGGAGGCTTAGAGGATGCGAATGCCAAAATCTGCAGTGAAAAGAAACCATATTGATGTGTGGACTGTGATAGGACCTTTAAATTCAGGGGAGACCTATACATTATGCAGTCCACAAAGGAGAGAAATCCCATGTGTGCCCTGCATGCGAGAGAGGGTACCTGGGGAGGAGTAAGTTTAACACCTGTCTTCAGAAACAGCTAGGGAACAAACCATACCACTTCTCAAAATGGGTTCATAAGTAGATCAGATTTGCTGATTTCTGCTGGGATCATAAAAGGATGTCTACGTTTGTATTGTGGTGTTCTTATTTGCTTGCATTATTCATAATTAGGGAATTTTAATAAAGATTGCTTTTGCATTTACTCCATTAGAGGACTCATTTTGCATGAGAAGAGGGTCAAAAGGAAACCGCAGACTCACAACTCTATTTATCAGGGTCAACACCTGATAAAGGTTTTCCTGCTTGGTGGGAAGATTGTACTATCTGGTAAGAAGTGGGATGCATATAAGGTCACCAAGAGATGTTTTAGTGTTTGGAATACAAAAGTGATTTTGACTGGTGTATAATAGAGGGGTCTGGGAATCCTTAATGCTTTGTTGCGGGGGGGCGGGCAGGGGGTGGATATCCAAGTGTAACACCTATAACCTGCTGCAAATAACCTGGCTAGCACCATGTACTGGCTAGTTACCAGTGTTAATAATAACTTGGCTTGTTGTAGACAATAAACTTAGCAGAGATTTTTGTCACTTGGATGGGGCATACTTATTCTTTCTGTAACAATGAAGCTATGGTGGGGAGATAGCAGCAGCACCACAGATGATATCTTGATAAGGCTTGCCCATAGACTACCCAAACTGGGGAGGAGGGGTGCTTGAGCCTAACAAGCTTGAGAACCGCTGGTCTAACTGTACTAAACAACCATTACAGTAATGCTGTAATGTGGCAATGTAGTAATATTCTGCTTTATTGTTTGTGTATCTTAAATTCTTTCCTGTATTTGTATAACCATAACCTTGTTGTATGATATTGCTAAGCAGAATATTGGTATTTCCCAGCCTACCAGCACATATTTAGCACAAGTATCAGTTTTGCCTCCCACATAATATATGCCTAGTGTATATCAATGCCAACCATCTTCAAGCAGGCTGAATCTTTCATACTATATAATTGCATAAATAAAAAATCCCAGACCTCGCACTCCCAAACCTGCTTTATGGGATTACAGATGAATTGGCTAAAAGTGTTTGCAACTCTACAAGGGAATATGCAGAACAAAAAGTAGACAGACATGGAGCAAGAGCACGTGGCTGAGTGTAACAGGATGGCTACGCAACAATGTCTAACCCACTGGGTAGTCATCTGTCTATGCATTATGAATTTCTGGGATGATGGGTAGATATCCTTCCCTTAATAGAAACAAAAAGGTGGGGAATGTAGGTCTCACTAGTTAATATAACTATTAATCAGCACATATTCAAATCACAGAAACGCTCTGTTAAGCACTGACTAAAACAAGGCTCACTAAAGAGCTAGGTATTCCCATATATAATTTTTAGGGGGTATTGACTAGAAAGTGCTGGGAAAGTTGGACTGTAGGCTCCTCATGATGTCAGCAGATAGAGAGTGACTGATCAGTCCTGACAGGACATTAAAAGAAGGGCCAGGATGACCCTGGTAAACATGTTTTCCTACTTGGTGGGCAGGTAGCACTATTTGGTGAGACCTGGGATGCATAAGGTGTCACCAAGAGATATTTTAGTATTAGGTGAGAACTAGGATGTGTAAGCTGTAAACAAAAAATATTTTGATCATAGCATAGTCTGCACACAGGCCACCCAGATAAGGGAGTCTAATATGATCAGTCAGGGGCAGATGCAGAAGGGGTGCAGTGCTGTGGTCACAGCCACCTTTTGGACCATGTTATGGAAGCAGCAGCTGGGGACTAAGTCC